GAAACATTTCCTGAACACCCCAATCACCCCAGCCACTCTCGGTCCCCTCAATGCCCACTCAGCCCAGAGTTGCACATGTCAGTATGTGTTACTGGTGATGCTAACCTTGTCACTTAGTTAAGGTGGTGCCTGCCAGCATTCTCCAGGTAGAGTTATATTTTTCTCCTTATAATTACAAAATATCTTGGAGGGAGATACTTTGAAACTCCGCAAACATCCTGTTCCTGCTTAAACTTTTGCCCACTAATTCTAACTTCTATTGGTGGAATTTTCCTATGGCGATTATCACTATGGGTGCTATGACACTTCTCTGTTTCTCCCAGGTTTATTTATTAATTAACTGGAATTCCACTGTAAGGAAGTTGTCTCTTTTGCCCCATTTGTTTATTTATTCAGTTATTTATTTATATACTACGGACTCATGTATATGTATTTTATTATTTGTGTTATAATCCAATATTTATTTCATTAGTCAAGTGGTTCTATCCCTTAGCTAGATTGTGCATCACTTCAGAGCAAATGACTACGTCTTAAACTTCTTAAACATTGTCCCTTGTGCCTAAGACCATGACAGGCACATAGTAGGCATTTGATTGGTTGATTCATTCATTCATTCAACAAATTATGTTTATGTATTGTCTCGGGTGCTACAGTCACAATACTTTTACTAAATATTGTTACTAAAACATTTAGTGAACTAAAAATTCCTTTTTTCAAGTGGTTTACAGTCTGGTTAACAGAGACTCATGTTCACCTACAAGTCCTTGATAAAAGCATTTGGAGAGTACAGTGATGGCTTAAATGTGAATATAGTAAACTCTACCTAGAGAAAAGGGGGGTAAGGTGACAGGCAGTATTCTGGGGGTAAAAGGGGTAAGGAAAGCAGTATTCTGTGCCCATTTTACTCCACTGTTCACTCTATAAAAATAAGTAGAAATAAAAAATATCTGGAGACAGATACTATCATACCGTTAGCAAGTACAACCTGTGTCTGCATCTTCTAAACTAATTCCTGAAATCAAACCTCAAGGGCATACTTTTTAGAAAGAATTAATGTAGTAAATACAGGCTCTTTATACAGGGTGGGACAGAAGTAGGTTTTCAGTTTTGAGTACATGAAACAGTTTATTCTTGTATTATTATTTATTAATTATTGTACTATTTTCCATATGAGCAACTGTAAACCTACTTTTGCCCCACCCATATAGTGACTATGTGCTTTACTGGGAAGACTGGAAACAGCTAAGGTAAAGAAATCTGAGAAGCCACTTGTCTTAATCCAGTTTTCACATCCAGTTTCACAGTTTTTATTCCTTCACAGGGAATAATGAAGGGCAAATAAGAAGCATCATCAGTCAAAGACAGACTCCCTAAGTTTCCTTACTGAAATCAGGTTTCTTGTACTACCCCTACTGTATGTTCCAAACAAAGCTGTTCTTTTCTCCAAGTGAAAGTGCAGATGGCGAATGTCCTTAGGAATAGTAAACAAACAACTGGGGCACATTTTACGCCAAAAATTACACTCTGCAACATTCTTCACCCAGAGCATTTTGAATTCCAAGCAAGCAGAGACACATCTAAACTACACTGCTGTATTGCAAGAACTGCTGACAATAGAGAATTTGTACTTTCAGACAAGTATTGACACTTAAACCTCTTAATATTTAACTCCTACTATTGTTCTAAATGATGAATAAGCAAACTCTCTCCTGCACACACGAGATTACATCATGCATCTTAATTACATTAGTAAATGCTGCTGAAAGGAATTTTACCGGAATTTTATTTTAACTGTTTCACATCACCCTTTCTAATTAACATCTCTTCCATGTTAAGGTGTATACAACAGTCGCACATACGTTCTGTGTCTGTGGATATGGGCATGAGTGCTACGTAGTCGTGAATGCACACACACGGATGCTTGCATTTGCGCCATGTTAGTATCCATTAACAGAACGCCCAGCTTCTTCAGCATCTGCTTCCCTTATTGTCTGGAATCTCCCCTTTGACAGATATGATGTCTTATTATCTGAAGATGTGGTTATTTCTGTGTTGGCAAACCTTTCCTTTTTTTTAATTTTTGTACACATTGCTCAGTATTTTAAAATTTTATCCACTACAACCTTGTGTTCTTATTCTAATATCATAATGGTTACTCTCACTCCAAAAAAATCTAAAGAATTACACATTTTTGTTCAACTGCATTTGTTTACTAGGTACATTTCTTAAGTCTTCCTTCCTGGTCACTTTTCTTTACCAAGATCCCTGAACTAAACAAAACAGCTGTCTGATCTGCTAGCTCACTCTTTCCCAGCCATTAAAATGGTGCCTTAACGTAATTCCTCAGCATATCCATTCTGATGCCATAAACACTGAACCATGATATTATCCTATGCAGGGGGCAAAAGGAGGAGGTGGCTCTAAAAAGAAAGATCTATTTCAGTGCCAACAGAGCCCAGTAATTAGACCACTGGAGAAAGACAAAGAGAGAGAAATCACAAAAATTACACTTCAGTAGGATATCAGACAAGCCCCCCACCCCTCCAGGGTCTACGTAGGATGTCCCACCCACGGTCACCACAGAGCTTTTAGAGCTGAAGTCCACCCTGTCTAAACGGTAGAGATAATCAGACTTTGGGGTACACCATCCTCCCTTCTTGTTGCTCGATCCCACTTTCCCTGCTGTTCTAATTAGATTATTTTGGAATCTGCTATTTCTGTCTTACTCCCTTCCCCAAACTGTCATATAAGTACTGCAGCTTGACTATTACACAGCTGCCAAACTTCACTCCAGAGACGGCAGTATTTCAGTGGCAAGTAAAGTGATGCTCCCTCTGTCTCATCTGAACACTAAGCTCAAGGGGTTAAGCATCTGGAATGGGGTTGCCTTTGTGCAGAAAAAGGAGAGTTTTATTTTGTTTTATCATTACCTCCAGAGGAGCAGGTCCACCTGAGCACGAGGGAGAAAACAAACCTAAAACACTCTATGCATACACTCAAAAGCACAGAGAGAGTATAAACAGTGAATGGGACTTTCACAGGTTCCTTTCTACATGGATTTCAAAGGCTCAAAACATCAAGGATCTAAAATGATGATCATTTTTGGAAGTAAAAGAAGCCCCTGAGAGTAACCCACTCATGTTATAGATACAAAACTAGGAGGCACAGGTTAAGTGAGCACCTTGTTCAAAGCCCTCATAATCCCCGGAGCAAGGGCATTCCACTTGAACTTGGGTTAGGCCACACACCACTCAGAAGACTGCATCTCTGCCAGTGAGACCAAACACAGCCTGAGCTTCTAAAGCATACAATATCGGCACTAAGTTTCATGTTTTATTTCATTATAATATTTTGTTTTAGATACTCAAGAAAATTCCTACCAGAAAAAAAAAAAACAGAGATGTAATGGCAGCAAATACTTATTGAATATAGGGAAGAAAGAATATTTCTGAAGAGAAAACAAAAGGGACACAATATAACTGACAACTCATAGAAAATCACTTCCAAAATTTTACTAAAACACTTCATGAAAACTTAAATATCTGATAAATTTCTCATTTCATCTAAAAAGATACTCCTTTTTGGCACATAGGGGCATGAATCTCTTGTTTCTTGCTAAGTCAAATAGAAAAGCACATTACTCCCCAGAAGTTCTGTATATTATTTGTAGTTCTAATAATAATAATGGTTCTTTCAGTAACGAATGAACAACAAATGACTCCCTGTTTGAACACCAGTGAAATGAAAGGCACTAATGATACTGAGAGGGGTCCTTCTACCTCTAAATAGGGTAATACCAAAAGCTATAATATGTAACATTCTAAAATTTAGAAAACATATTTAAATGCTCCATCTCATTTGATACACTCTAAGAGGAAAAGAAGGCAGTAATTTCGAAACATGCTGCAGAATACTGACACTTTGCTATTTCCGCTTCTACTGACTGCTCGCGCTCTGAATAGCAGCCTGCCAACACCAGAGGGAGCAGAATGCCGCGTTGTGGGGTGGGGGGGGTCTCCACTGCAGGGTCCCTGCACCAGAAGACAAAATGGCAGGCTCTGGTACCAACCATTGTCTACTGTTTGACTTGTTCAGATGACAAAATATTCTACCTTACTTCAGGAAAGGGAAAATAAGTATGTGAATGTTTTCACACTGACACAGTAAGTCATATTATTTACCAGACTTTCAAAGAATAAAATGCTTTATACAGAAGTCTGGTAAATTACTTTAGAAACAAATATACACCAAAAGAGATTTGAAAAGCTATGCCTACATTTAAAACTCTATGTACTCATGAGTCTTTGCCTCTGCCTTTTTCATTTTGCATGTCTCAAAATAATACCTTCCCCCAAACTGGCTACGAATGGAATTACAAAGGTTACTTTCAGACTGAAGGTACTAGAGTGGAAAAGGGAAGAACATATTTGTGTTGAAAGATGACATCTGAGATCTCTATTTTGAATACTTAAGGAGCATCAGTCAGGTTTTCTTCACCATGGAAATGTGTACTGCAGATCCCAACACACAGAGCGTGTCTGTGACTAGGTGGGCTGGGTTTGGGAGTGGGAGGGGCAACCAAGCAGGACTCATCAAAGAAACGAAAAGCATTATGTAAGGCACAGACTAGAGGGATGAGCCCCAGAAGAAAGCAGTTAAGTAGGGAGGGACAAAATAGAGGAAAAGCAAATGACAGCAAATCTAAAGCCAAAAAACGTAGCCTTTACCAGACCCATGTTGAAGGCCAAGAAACCTCTGAGTGGATTTTGTTATTCAAGACACCACTAAAAGCACCCAAGAATGGACAGAGGAAGGTAAAATGAACCACAATCCCACAAAAAAGCTGAGTGAAAGACACCAAATACTAAAGAGGCCAAGATGTGACAACTAAACAGACTATTTTGATCCTGAATTTTAATCTGTTTTAAGGTAACTAAATAGTTAGAATTAACTATAAAAGTTAATTGTACACAAAAATTAGAATTAACTATATAACTAACCTGCCTGTCCAGCGTGAACGATACGGAACAGGATATGGGTGTCAGAGCTGGAGTAAGTAACCGTGCTCTGCTGGAGCCCCCAGCCCACTCCTCCTTCAGGTGGGGCTGAAAAGGAAAGCAGCACCATACATCAGGAGCCATCCACTCTTCTGTCTAGCATATCTTCACAGTCACAGCGTAAAACAAACTCCTGCCACAATTTCTTAAAATATGGATTGTCAATAGCATTCATAATTTACATTGCCTAAACTGAAAGATCAACAGCTGCATGATTTTTAATGGCCTTGACAACTGTACATTCAAGCAAAGTTTTATAGTTACCTTCTCTCCTCACCATCTTTATTCCCCTATGTGGTTCCGCTGTCAATTGTCCCAACCTCACTGCCTGGCCCTGGCGATCCTCTGGTTCTCCTCTGCCTGGTGCCTTCCAGATCAATAGGTCTTTCTCCACTGGCCTCTCCAGTTTCTCATTTCAGATGCACTCTTACTTGCTTTCATTTTTTTTCTGTCTCTTAACCTCGGTGGTAAGTGATACCATGACATTATTATTCTTTAAATATATATATCTATACATATACATATACATGTACATGTACACATATGTGTGTTTTAGTCCATTCAAATTGCTATAACAAAACTACCATAAACTAGGTGACTTGAACAACAAACATTTATTTCTCACAATTCTGAAAGCTGGAAAATCCAAGATCAAGATGCCAGCAGATGCAGCGTCTGGTGAGGGCTCACTTTCCGATTCAGATGGCTGTTTTCTCACGTCCTCGCAGGGCAGAGAGCAAGGAGAGCAGCACCCTGAGGTCTCTTTCCCAAACCCTATCTCCTCACACCAGCACATCAAGGGCTAGAATTTCAACATGAGTTTTAGGGCGGCACATTCAATTCATAAAAATACTGCATTAAGCAATAATTTTTTCAAAAGAGTGTAGTATTGTCAAATATGGAGAAACAGGCCTATGTGAACAAGCCTGATAGAATATTATCTTGGTATAACATTAGACAAAGGTACATTGTACAAAGGGTTGTATTTAAAATAACTGACTGGACAGCGTGGGCACTGACCACTGGGCAAAGGGGGGAAAACTGGGACAACTCTAACAGATTAACAATAGAAAATTTTTTAAAAATATTATGTGTTTATCTACATAGATGGCATCATCTGGACAAGTGTTTCTAAAACTTTCTTTTTGCAACTGGACATGTCATCTAGTTGATTTAACATTGCATAATAACATATCCATGATTTATTCATTCATTCTACTACTGGTGAATATTTAGAGATCAAATTTTACTATTTCAAAAAATCTGCAGCAAACAGGCTTCTACATATCTCTTTGTGCACATAGGTTAAGTCTGTCTAAGGTATACACCTAAAATTATGTTCTCAATGGTCTTGCTTCCTTTCAGAACGGTCCCATTCAGCTCTCCTGTTCACCCCAACCACGATATGATGCTGCCGACTATACCTCCCTTAAAAATGCAAACCCCATCAGGACAGGACTCGTGTCTGATTTGTTGCATTGCATGTTTCCAATGCTTAGAACTGTTCCAGCACATAGTAATCCCCAACAGAAGAATTTGCTAAATAAATAAATGAGTGACGAGTGACTGAATGAGATTAGAATTTAAAGATATTATCTTAGTTTCTTACAATTCAGAAGCTCTGTGAAGCTCTGCTTTCACACTGTACTGGCAAACTCCTTAGGCACCTTGAAGGCCCCATGGGACTCGATGAATTAAGTTTGCAACACTGATTTGGCCTGAGCTTGAAGAGAGGTTTCCTACACGATTGCAAAAAAATGGTTCGGTTACAGAGACCACCAAAATCTACTGAACCACAGGTCCTACGCCACAACACAGTGAAATACACCGAACTATCCCCACTCGTCAGCCTCCCCAGGGGAATTCATTCTGGTAAGCCTTTGCTGATCAACATGTCTGCATTTCTGCACACTAGTCAGTGATTCACAGTGAGAGAACGGATCCTTCCTCTCTGTTTGAGTCCCTATTGATTCTGTAGTTGAGGAGGAATCTAAGTGCTTTCCAAATACCAAATGTTCCATATGGTAGTGTTATTAGCATTCTCACTACCGTGACGTTTGACCTTTCTACCTACACTTAGGAGTTGCCTCGCTGGAGTTTGGCAGAACATTATGAACTCTTTTCCTGACCTATATTTGCTGACACATTTGTTGTCATGTCTCCTGTTATAAAATTATTACTTTTGTTCAAATAACATATGTATGTGGGTAAATACAAGTTTATTTTCTTATTCATCCTCACAATCATTTAGAGAATATTTATGACCCATTAAAGAGGAATTCTTAAGCTCAACTGTGTTAATAAGGAATTCAGATGTTCCTCCTGTTTTGAAAAATACGGAGCTGTTCAAATTAAACTGAAAATGAATACAGCATCTACATACACAAGAGTTGCGGAGTATCCAGTGAAGAGCATTAGCTGAAGCCAGACAAGTCATCTTGTGTTTATCTCCTTAACACCAAGTCATTCCCTGGCCCTTTTTCCTTCTACTCTTTGACCTTGTGATGCAGCTCTTGGTAAAGGGACTTAAAACCCCACCATTAATTTCCCCTTTGTGTTTATTATGTAGGATAAAGCATACACTCCTTAAGAGACTGAGGTCTCTCATTCTATTTTCTCTTTCACGCATTTAATGAAAGGAAGCTCCTTTAGTAATGGAGAAAGGAGATGAGGCTAGTAGGGCAGCTCACATAGGCAGTGAGACAGTTAGACTCTCCATGTGCAGCTAAAGAGGCCAGAAAGCTTGCCAGACCCCAGGTACCAGCTGGACCTCAGGAGCAAGGCAGCGGGATTGTGATCAGGTTCTGCTCTCACAGGGTGGCTGCTCCGAGGGTCCCAGCAGCCAGATCACAACTGTGATAAATGGGTCTCTGACATGCAGACTTTAGTCAGGCAGTTTCTCCAGGACTAGAATTTCACCATTAATCCAAATTAAAGGAACTTGGATATATATTAAACTTTCTTGAATAACAGGAGGATAAAAACAAGGAAGAAGAATGGGAAAAATATAATTGGGATTATACTATACGGAGAATCATACTTTGCTTTCTTTTTTTTGTTTGTTTCTATTATACCATCTTCTCTGATCATTAGGTAGTCTTTCAAAATAGGATTTATAATGATTTTCTATGAAATTGATACTATTATTATATAAACTGTATAAACTCAGACATCAAGAAGGAAAGTTAACTTGCCTGACATCACACCTCAACAAAATAGCAGAGCTGGAATTTGAACCAGGCAGTCAGGAGCCCTGCCATCTAATGTAATCTACAGCCTCTGATTAATATGGTGCCACCACAATTATGTCTAATCATGCTCCCAATGTTGTGTGTGTGTATGTGTATATGTGTATATACACACACGTGTGTATATACATATCCATACCCATATATTTTAACTAACAAGCAGTACAACTTCAAATTCATGTTTCATTAAATACAAGGCTGTTTATTAAATACCTTTTTATTCTTATTAAAGAAAGAAAAACTATGTTTTCCAGAGAAAGAAGTATTACTATCCAGTGGTCGCATGGTTGTCTAAAAATACTTGGCCATAAAAGGGGAAAATCTTAAAATTTCCTAGAATCCTTTCATACATTCTTGATTTAGTATTATTTGTCAAATGTCAAAAACTGGTAAGTTTCATGCATGCTACTATATACAGCAGAAAGGTTCTTAAAAACAGTATTATATACAAATAAATGCCCTCCCTCTCCCCTGCAAAAAAAAAAAAAATTAAACATGGAGATGCCACCTCAAAGAATCAGTTGACAAGAACATTGTTGTTTCAAAATTCTCTGCACTGGAAAACTGTATGAAGTAGGTACTCTCATACACTGCCTCTGGAAATACAACCTGGTATGACTTTATTAGAAAGTAATTTGGCAACAAGTAGAAAAAGTTTTAAAACTTGAAAACTCCTAAACTCAATTAATTTACTGCTAAGGAAGTACTTTAAGGAAGCCATGAATAATGGCAACTAATATAAAACTATAGGACCACTCTTGGTAGCATAAAAGCAAAAAAAAAAAAAAAAACCAGATCAAATTAAATGTCCAACTAGAGGGGATCGATTAAATGTATTTCAGGATATGAATTCAACAGTATACTATGTAATCATTAAAAATAATGTTGCAGATAAATATGTCACTATGAAAAGATGTTCATTATTACATTAAACAGAACAAAAATGTTAGATGAAAGGTGATAGAATATGTTATATTATTCCTTACTACAACCTGATGGTAGTCTCTCTAGCTGAATTTAGAAACACCATCATCAGAATCATCCCTTATCAAGCAAGGGCTTGCCATCCACCTTAATCAGTGATCTCAACACAAACAGGAGTTATTTTCTTTCCCATAAATAAGGGGTTCCATTTTCATAAAAGACACAGAAAGAATAAGAAGATAGAGAAAATAAGTGAATCTACAAATGTATGTTTATGTTGTGTGTTGGGGTGTGTGTGTAGGAAAATAAATATGTATATATCCCCACCACTACCTTTGGGACTTTACAATTAAAGGATAGTTATTTTGGGTTAAAGATTTTGGAGATATTTACCTGTACCATGTGCTTTCATCACAATGGAGAAACAGAAGCAGTCAGCTCCTTCCCAGCAGATCTTTTCACTCGGATTTTGCTTGAGTAGAAAGGGTGGTGGTAGAAAACTCAGTGTAAAATGCCTAGACCTGTAAGTATAAAAACAATATTCCTACTGAGTGAGGCAGCTTGCTGTGGCCTCCATCCACATTAACTGAAGTCAGAGAAAAAAAAGCACAAAGCACATTGCCATAATACCTCTCTCTCTCTCTCTCTCTCTCTCACACACACACACACACACACACACCTCTCCAAGGGTAAGAGGGTTTCTGACCTTAGAGACGTCACCATCAAAACGAGCCCATTCCTTCCCTTCCTTCCTCCCTGACGATCACAAAACTTCAGAGAAATAAAAAATAGTTCTTCTCTAGAAAATTTCAGGAACATTACTGAATTTGATGCTCTCTAAGATTCCTTCTAGCAGCAAAGTTAAGCCAATTCAGTGCATGTATTCATTATAACAGCCTGACTTTCACTTTCAAAATGGTACATGTCTCTCTGGTGATGACCCAGGTAGAGCACGTCGTTGATATTCAAGATCATCACTAACATTTACTGAACACTTATTTTGTTCCTGGCACTGTGCTAATACTTTATACACATTATCCCATTCCATCACACTATTATTAACAACAACAAAAAGAGTAGGAGAGCTAGTAGAATTGAAGCTAGTATTTAAGCCAATACTGTATTGTTCACAGAGACCATGCTCATAAACCCAATACTGTACCATCTCTCCAAAATTGACCTTGTTATCAACACTTCTGTACTTATCATAAAAATGTTAAACATCAAATCAATATCATCTTATTTTCCCCCAGAGCTAAGACATCACCTAAGTCTTAGCATTGCTCTTTTTGGATTTGTTTGTCCTTTAATTTTAATTCCCAAGCCAAACTGAAATCAATGTGTTCATATTTCAATTAAGAGTAAATTTAGACTTATTTTAGTGAATTAAAAATGTTGACTAATCTGAAATCTGGGTGCCAACACAATAAGGAAAAACCTAAACTCCAGGTCCTACCTAAATAGCTAAATTTTATTAGGAAGAAGGCAGATAATAAAATCTAGAGCCATATGTGAATCCCTAATTTAAGGTACAAAAATCAAGCGAAATTCCCATACATTATCATATATCCAGTGTAAGAAATACTTGTTTACCTATTTACAAAGTCTACATACAAAAGGTCTTAGAATCACTGCAGCAGAAAATAGGTAAGAGCACAAGAAACCAATAGTTATTTATGGGGCATATACTGACCCCCTTCTGGACGCCCACACGCACGTAGGTATTTACGTGCACTACTCTGAGTGTGCCTCTGTGGACGCCACGCCCTTTGGCTAGCACAGCTCTCCACTGGAAGTAGATTCTCCACATGGCACGGCCCCCAGGCCCAGGGCAGCCCAGCCCTTACATTCTTTCTCAGGCCGCACTCCAACATTTCTGCCGTCGTTTTAAGTCCTTCAGTGCACCTTGTTTGCCTAGGCCTCACTGCTAAGACTTCCCAGATCACCCACCTTCTTCACCAAATGACTGTGGATCATTTTCTCCTTCAGCTCTCAGCTCAGTCCTGTACTCCTCCGTGGAGCCCTGCCTGACCTCTCTGGCCAGGTCACTACACCTCCTACTACATGCTTTTCTAGAATCATACTCTGTGTTATACTGGTCACCTTTGTGATTTTACATTTTTGTTAGATTCACTGATTAATCACATTTCCCCACTACTAACTAAGCTCTTATAAGGCAGGATGTATGTGCTCTTATTCACCCTTTAATCCTCAATATTCAACACGATGCTTGGCACATTATAGGCACTCAATAAAAAATCTTCTAAGTGAATAAATGGGAAAGGAAGGGAGGGAGGAAGACAAGGAAGGAGGAAGGGAGAGAAGAACAACACTCATCATAATTTGATAAGTGTTTGTTCAATTAATCTGCTCATGGCTTTTTAACAGAGTATATGGTCTGCATTCCTTTGAACAGCATGTGAGGCTCCTTGTGACCTGAACCCAGCCAGCCAGGTCACGCCTCCAGCTGCACTGGACACTCGGCGCCTCTGAATCACCGCAGCTCCCTGACCACCCTGCCTAGCTACCATTCACCTCCATGCCCTGGTCTATTCTGTGCCCCCTGCACGTCATCTCTTCAAACTCAAACCCATTCTCCAAGACTCGGAGTGAGGGCTGCTTTTCTGCAAACACCTCTCATCTCAAATACCTTCTTGGAAGCTGAGGTCCTCTTTTGCCATTTATGTACAACACTCTGAACTTATCCCTATAAAAGCAATTTTTATATTTTCTTGTACTTGTATCTCAAGCAAGTCCATCTCTCCCAATGCACTGTACATCCCTGAAAGGCAAAGTAAGGGTGTTGCCTCATCACACTATCCTCAGAGTTTAGGGCAGCAGCCTCAAACATAGAGTCAATGAATATGTGTTGAATGAACAAAAGAAGAATATATATATATATTATATATATAATATATATATATGTTTCATATGTGCAAAGTTCCACAGTTGACTATTTAAAATATATTATAAATATAGTACATTTTAATTATTATTGAATGTTATGAGGCAGAACATTATAAAGTCATCTGTGAAATGGGGGTCTGATGCCTACCTCAGAGAGTCATTGGGAAAATTAAACGATACATAATGAAAATGTTTGCACAGAGCCCAATGTACTGGAAGCACCTACGAATATTAATTGTATAATTATTGTCATCATCAACATCATTGTTAGAGCAACCATGTTGCATTTATAATTCATGCTTCAAATTTAACAGCTCTATTTGACAACATTTTCCCGATTAAAATATTACTTGGCATTAGTATCTCTGTAAAGCCTTAAAATGGACAAAGAGGCACCCAGCAAACCAAGGATGAAGGCGAGTCTTATTCACTATAGCTGAAGGAGAAATTATTGTTTCAGTAATCTTCAATATATATGTTGAGGTACAAAGCATTAACAGAGAAAAAAAATGTATTCGTTTAAAAAATTATAAAATCTAACTGATAGAAACACCAAATATTATCATTCAAATACCATAAACATTTACTTACTACAAACTATTTCTTTTGTAAAAAAAAAAACAAGATAGAGATACATATTCATTTCTTTTAGTTACTGGACAGAGTAACATGTTATAAGTAATATGTATTTGTCTTATTAATATGCTATAAAGTGTTTGAATTAATAGCAAACACATTTCACACATAGTCTATTAGATGTTATTCTGATTTCGATTTGTTGCAATTTACTGAAATGACCTTAGGCAAAGAGGGAGAAAAGAGCAAGACAGTTGTGCAACAATATTTTTTTGGAAAAAACAACATAAAAATGAATTGTTTGCAAATGCTACCAGTGCACAGATGAGCAGAATGAACTGGTAGAAATTTATTCTACAAAGTGAACTTATAATTCAGTCCTATATTGCCCTTTTTTACATATTGGCTGGATTTAAATAATGACTATAAAAGTATTTCAAATACTGTGTGCTACTGAAATATAAGGCACTATCATCACTGCATTTCATCACTGCATTTTGACATTTCCATTTTCAATTCATCTTTACCTCTCTGATAAGTGATAAAACCCAAAGCAAGTCAGATTCCTAACTGGAGCTTAACCATGTTCTGAGAAGTACTAGAGTTATCGAGGGGAAATATTATAAAAATGCTAAATTCTTAACTTCTAATTGTTATAGAACTAGAATATTTCACTACTTTTAAACTGAATTATAATTCTATTCATTGGCCGCAACCATTGACCAGCTTATTGCAAATATATTGTTCTCTGCAACATAATTAAGACGGAAAGGTAGGACAAATCTAGTCCAAAAAGTCTTAATTTATTTAGATAATTTTACCTGAATTCACTAGCAATCTCATTATCATGATATTTGTGTTTGTGTCATAAAATCTGGTGAAATCTTATAAATATAAGGCAAAATTCCTCTTTATTTATGCTGATCCCTGAATTTGGGATGCCCTTCCTTACTCATTCAAATGTTACTCTTCCTTTAAGATTCAGCTCAGCTGCCATTTCCTCTGCAGCATTCTCCCACATGTATTCTATTTGTCCTGCTGTGCAATGATCTGTTTCCCTCTGCAGACTGTGAAAGACCTTAAGGTCACTAACCAGGTCTCTGCCTTTTCCACAACAACCTACTCAGTTCTTTGCACATAAAATATTCTCAGTAAATATTGTTCCAATGTGTCAGTGAATACACACACTCTGATGCTCTTAAAACTAGGGTGAAAATGTCACTCTTAAAAGTAAGGTGAAAATGCCAGTAATTATGAACTAAAGTTAAAGGTTAAAGTAAAAAAATATTTCCATTTTTAGTGAAATGAAACTCTTAGCATTTTCACTTCCAGATGCATCAGCATTACATAAAAGATGTTGAAACTATTTCAGAAAATAGACATGCTGTACGCTTTCCTGTCAGAGAATTAGTCTGAGAAATACCAGCTACACAGGGCCTCTGGGTGTTCTCATGACAAACACTGAATTAGGTATCGATTTCACACACTCATTTCATGGAAATCTAGACCAGGACTCGACCTCCACAACACCAGCACGTCACACATTACTCTGTTCAGCTGCTTAAGAATAAGCTGATGGTTCCCGGGAGAGGTGCGCCCTCCCCTCCCAGTACTGGCTGGCACTTCAGCGACAATGAATCTCAGCGGCAGAGAGCTTCAGCACTCAGAGAAACACACACCAGTGCCGGATTACATTTTCCACTTTTATTGTAATTCTTATTCCCACATGGACCAACTTCTCGCATATCTGCTTTTCATTTTTCAAAACCAAACCTTTGAGCTTGTGACAACTTGCCTGGCTGAGTAACATACTACATCATCATACACATGAAAAGAACAGCGGGCAGAAAGAGAACAAGTCTCTCATCGTAACCTATCCAAGGTGATTGTCCACATTCGAAACTGTCATGGGTGGGACAATAAATATGGATTTTCCAAGAGGTCACCAAGCCTTACTTCATGGTTCTCTCTTCTCCGTGCCCCATTATTTTCTAGGTACTCAGCAGGATTAGGAATACAGAGGGCTTCTGTCTTCTGT